AGAAATGCAAAAGGAAGTCTCAGAACATCTTAAAACACTACAGAACTTGTTTTAATGGTACTTTTGCCTTGAAAGCCTTGATCAGGAGACTGCGTAGCGGGTGCGTAGTCCATTTATGATTGATATCAATGATATCAATGATGAAAATTTTATTAAAGATGATTTAATAGACATGAGATTTAAAGCAGTATTGCGAGCTGAAAGGATGTTTGTGATTTTTGATGCAGTTTAGAACAAGCTTACCCTCTTCTTGTTAAACAAGCAATGTCCTTATTAATTCGGTTTGCTATTACGTGCCTTTGTGAGTCAGGTTTCTCAGCATTAGTGTCAATAAAAACTAAAAATTGTAACCGAATAGATGTCAAAGACGATACGCGTCTTGCATTGTCTAAGATAATTCCTCAATTTAGTGTACTTATTGAAAAGAAACAGCAGCAACCATCTCAACTGATATGTGATAAATTTTAGTTGATACTAATAAATAAAGGTGTTTGTTATGTTGTTTTTTTTCCTAATACATTTACAATAAGGCTTGGAAGAGGGTCCGTAAGATTGCCAAAATTTTGAAAGTGTTTTGTGACTACAAAATGGTTAAGAACCACTGCTTTTAATGTTATTGTATTTTATTAAATTTTAAATGTTTATTTGTATTTTATTGTTATTTAAATGTTATCTAAAGCTTCATTGACCTGGTGGAATGAAAAACTTAGAACAAACTTTTCTACAGTTTCAGACATTTTTTGGTTAGTTCTATAGTGTTTGAACAGTTTTGTATTCAAATGAATGACAACCTTTAAACCGTAAACTTTGTTCTTGTTTCTTCGCTTATTATCCAGCTTCATTTTCAATCACAATCTTTTTGTTTCTATGTAGACAGATACAGGAACTGTATTTAGATCACCACCACTAATCTTAAAAAGTGAAGCTAGAAGTTTCAGCTCAAACACTGACCTTGGACCTAGTCAAGAAAGAAACCCACTTGTCAAGAACATCATTCATTGAAAGCTTTATTTATCTTTTTTTTTGGCATAGCTTAAATCCATGGCTCAAATCCACTATCAATCTCAGTGGCACTTTTACCACTTAAAGGTAGTTCTCAAAATCTTTTATCCTTTCTATGTCCTCTATAGCTTTTTTCTTTGACATTTCTTGTTTTTTTTTCATGTTGTTCTCTTTATGTACATTCTATTACATCTAAGATTCATTTTTCCCCACCTATGAACTCAATATCTTCTGTCTTTGCCTGCTTGTCTCTATTTTCATCATCTCGTAAGTTTTAAGGTGTCTGTTTTATCTTCTTTGATCTTGTTTATTTTTATAAGGGTTCTAAGACTACACAGTTTTTTGTAGCGTTCGTAATATTTCTCGAGCTCCTTCACTATTTGTTCTGTAACCTGAAATCTTGAATCTAAACCACCCATGTCTCAAAGAATAAAAAGTTCTCTCAGAATGCATAATCCAGTGGATTCCCCCTGGTTTTTTTCTTACACTCCTCTTTAACACAAAGCATAGATCTTGACCTCATCTTTTGCGCACAGGATAGTTTTGCATTTTGATTGTTCTTACTTGACCTGAACCTAACTTGAATTCAACAACAAACTTCTCTCAGTGCACAGTAGGGCAGAGTTGTCTAAAAATGGAAAAACTGTTTATGGGTTAAATATAGACATATGGTACAAGTTTATAAGGTTTTTGGGGCCAATAATTTCATTTTTGGGCTTTAGTAAGTTTAGAGTGGTCACGACCACACAATTGATTATTGTCATGGGGTGTCTCAATGGTTTTTAAATTACATGAGACATTTTATATATCTAATTATAAGTAATTGCGGTCAGGGAATTCTAATCTGGAATTCCCTGACCGCAAACTTTTACTTTTCAAAAGAAAAGAAAAGGTTTACATAATTATTTCAAAACACAACCGCTATCAATTTTATGTTTTTTAGACAGAAAAAGCTTTACCAAATAATTATTCGATTTAAATCTTAAGATAATACTTGTTTGGTGCAAACATATGTAGTGAATGCTGAAGCAAGTAGAGTGTCCTTGTTTTCTGTGAAGCTGAACTTCTGTTGGGGGATGTATAAAATATTCTTTGTTGATAATCCATTAAAGACCAAATATAACAATGACAATGACAATTTATAGCCAAATATTTCAATTTTTGTATAATAATCTCATTTTATGTCCTAAACATGACTTCTTAATTTATATTTGAATACTTTTTTAATGAATTTTATTATATAAATATTAGTAAATTCTATAAAATATACAAAATAATCACGCAACCATGCATATGAAATAGCATTGTACATTGTACTGGAAACCTTTGGCTTGGAGACCTAAAAATTTTTATAGTGGGTCTTATAGTTGTTATATTTAATATTTTCAATCATGTATGTGCTGTATAGTATATATATATATGTATATGCTGTATAGTATATATTTTATAGTATATATATGTATATACTGTAATAGAAAACGCTTTTATTTTTGAAAAATAAGTTAAAGTTATTGACAAAAAATGTGGTAATTATTTTTGCCTTAGCACTTTTTTGCTGAGTAATTTATTAAAGTACTACAAAGGCCTCAGCAAAAGCCTCAGTATATGCAAAGTGCCAAGGTTCATTTTGCACGCTATATATATATATATTATATATATATATATATATATATATATATATATATATATATATATATATATATATATATATATATATCTAATATAGCATATTTATATGCGCAATTGCTCACTTTTTTTGCTAGCCTAACTTAAGTGAGCATTTTTAGAAAACGATGAGGGAAAACGAAGAATAATGAATGAAAATGTTGTTGACCCATACCAAACCCTCAGTCGATGTAGCAGCACTCCACGGCGAGTCAGGCTATTTGTCAGTCGATGTATGTACTGAAGCCCCCGGCAGCAGGCTATTTGACATTAGGTGAGTATGAAATCATCATGCTCACCTAACTCAGCAGTATAAGATATATGCATATATATATATATATATATATATATATATATATATATATATATATATATATATATATATATATATATATATATATATATATATTTATTTATATATATATATATATATATATATGCATATATATATGCATATATATATATATATATATATATATATATATATATATATATATATATATATATATATGCATATATATATATATATATATATTTATATACAGTACTGTGAATATGTTTTAGACCACTTATATAATTAGTTGTATTTTCAATTTTTTTCCTGTGTATTTTTTTTTTAAGCATACTTAAGTTGAGTAATATTTGAGAAAGATTGAAAGAATATATTATCTTGAATAAATAAACAAAAATTTATGAGGAACATGAGAGATATGTTTGTTTATTTATTAAAACGATAATTGTCATAATAACTGCAGACCAAGCGTTCATCTAAATAATACATAAAAATAATATTTTCAATTTTTTTCTTACTGGTTCAGGTTCATATTCGTTCATTTAAGTTTTTAACAGTATAAAATGTAGTCATAGAGTGAATTTAATACAATAATGATCGGTTTTGGTACATTTTTTAAAAAGTTGTTATTTTTTATTAATAAAGTTAAACAAATAGTTAAAAATAATTAAATAAAGTTATTAGTTTACATTTTTAGATTAATTAAGTGTTGCTATGGGTAAAATATCTTTAATAGAGAGACAGAAAGTTATTGTGCTTCACGAAGAAGGTTATTCGCAGCGCCAAATTTCTTCCAAAACAGGATATTCAAAGACTGCTATTAGAGAAATCATTAAAAAGTTTAGAGAAACTGGCTCCCTTGGAAATAGAAAGAAAAGTGGCAGACCTCCTAAGCTAACAAAAGATGACAATAAATATTTAAAAACCCTTTCTTTAAGAAACAGGAAAAAAACATCCACCGAATTGGCAAAGGACATTAATACAGCAACTGGGAAAAATGTTAGCTCTTCTTGTATTCGACGACACCTACTCAAATCAGGATTACGAGGCTGCGTTGCTATTCAAAAACCTTTATTACGGCATGGCAATAGAGAAAAACGACTTAAATATGCAAAACAACACAAAGATTGGGCCCAGAAAATGTTTAATCGGGTTCTGTGCACTGATGAGTCCAAATTTGAAATTTTTGGAACGAAAAGATGTCAATATGTTCGAAGAAGAATAGGAGAAGCCTATCAGCCCGAGTGTTTAAACCCTACTATTAAACACAGAGGAGGCTCTTTACAAGTTTGGGGCTGTTTGTCTTCATCTGGGGTAGGTGATCTGATCAAAATAGAGGGACGACTCACCGGGGAACGTTATGTGGATATTCTAAGACAGCATGCTTTACCATCCGGAATGAGACTAATGGGCCATAATTTTATTCTGCAGCATGACAATGACCCAAAATATTGTTATCGAGTGGCAAAAAATTATTTAAATGAAATGGCAGAAGAAGGAATACTGGAAATGATGACCTGGCCTCCCCAGAGTCCAGATTTGAATATAATTGAGCATATTTGGGATTACTTGGACAGGAAAAAGGTCAAACATGCTCCCCGAAATGCTGAAGAATGTTTTCAAGTACTTCAAAGAGAATGGCACAACTTACCGCAGGATTTTATAACAAATTTGTATAAATCTATTTCCCGGCGAATATCGGCTGTGATTAAGGCAAAAGGAGGACATAGTAAATATTAAGGGTTTTTTTATGAAGTGTGACATTAAAAAGTTTGTTATTGTTCCATATTTTGTGTGAAATATATGTGTTTTAATAATTTTATAATATAGAATTCGAAACTTAAATATTAAGGAAGAATTCTCTTGGATTTTATATATATATATATATATATATATATATATATATATATATATATATATATATATATATATATATATATATATATATATATATATATATATATAAAGCTTTTGTCTAATTTTTTTGAATATATTTACTATACTGTTTAAATTTTTTTGAATATGTTTAAATTCTTTTTAGGTATTGATATTGAAGAGATTACAATATCTTTATCAAGAAAAGACTTTAATTTTCGAGTTTGGGATTTTGCAGGACAAGAAGAATACTTTGCAACCCACCAGTGCTTTCTATCTTCCTCTTCTTTATATTTATTGGTTTGGGATGTAACTAAAAAAAAAGAATATGTCCAATTACTTCAACCATGGTTTGAGAATTTAGTAGCTCGAGTACAATTTTTTTATATTATTGTTGTTGGTACAAAATTAGACCTCCTCAAGAATGTTGACATAGATAGTGCTTGTGATCAAATGAAAACCGAGATTCAAACACTTATTGAAACTATTCCTGCTGTTAGAAGTTTAATGAATAGCGATAAATATTTTTCTTTAAGACTAAAAATTTGTTTTGTTTCTTTAGACACAAAGTGTCAAAGTTATTCTAAAGGTAAGTTGTTTTTATTTATTACTGTTTTTTTGTTGATTTTGGTGAAAATGCAGAATTTGTTTTCATATCATATTAGTTTTTGAAATTTTTTTTTGTTTATTATATGCTGTTTATTGGTTAAAGTTAAAATACCTAACTACACTGTGGGACAAAATGACAAGACATTCTCAAAAATTTTGAAAAATGCAAGTGCACAAGAACTTATAAAATAATTTTAACATTATAAGATAATGTTTGGACCATACAGAACTAATGACAATTTAAAAATTCATTTTTTTTAATGCAACACTTTTACAAAAAACATTTTATTTGCAAACTGTAGTTGTGAGCAATGAAGAACATTTATTTGATGTAAACACCACAGATTAACTGTAAACTGTTGTTGTCAAAAATTTAGTTTAGATTTTTTTAATAAGTAAAATTAAAAAATGAATTTTTTTTAAGTTTTTTAATTTTAATTTTTGATTTTAAATTTTTACTTTATTTATTAAAATTAAAAATTAGTTAATAATGAATTGTGCTGCACCATTGAGTCCAGATGAGAAAAAAGTTTTAACTTAAAATGAGTTCCACTAGAGCCATTAAATTTAGAGACCATTAAATAGAGCCATTATATTTAGAGCCATTAAATTTATAGACAGCTAAACTGGCTGTGTCTCTAAATTTCAGGACTACTTTAATAGTCCTCATAAGCATGGAAAGTCCTAGACATCCATCAACATTAAGTAACTGTGATAAGCAAAAGTTGTTGAGACAAGCTTCAAGTTTTTCATTAACAGCACATCAAATTGCTAATCTGCAACCCTCGGAATTAGGGTCGGCATTCGGCAATGCCGACCTTACTGCCGACCTAAACGTGTTTGCGGTCGGCAAAAAAAATTTGGTTTTGTCGACCTCGTTTCAATGTTTTATGGTAAGACCTTTGTATTTGCCGATCTGATGCCGACCTCTAAAAGATTGAGGTCTGCAAACTATTGCCGACCTCAGAAAAAAAAAAACTTTGTTTTTCAGCAAGACAATGGTAGCGTTCATACAGCTTAGATAGTAAAGGATTATTTCAGCAACAATGAAATTTAAACATTAAAATGGCCAGCTAGATCTTTAGACCTGAATTTTATTGAGAAAGCTTGGAGACCGCTGTCAAATGTAGTGTTTGTAGGTGTCATTTTGTCACACTGAAAAAAACAGTTTTTAAAAAAAAAAAATGTGAATTATCTTTATAAGTTTTTTTAAACTTTGTATAGTGTTGTAAACCCTTTTTTTTATTTATACCAAAAATTAGTTTATAAATATAAATGTATAGTAAAGTTTGATAATTATTTTTTGGGTGCCTTATCATTTTGTTGTGCAGTGTATATAGCATGTTTAAAAAGAAAAAAACATCAAGCAATTTGGAGTTAATGTTTCTTTATGATTTTTTTCATCATGTTATGCTTATCTAAAAGTGTAGATGTTACACCTGCAGTAGTTTTACCATTTTGTTTATATCATGTTTTTTAAGAAAGCATTAAAATTTGAGAATATTCTTTAAAATGTTTACTTATGGAGTTAAAATTAAGAGTATATCACAATTTAAAAAATATAAATTAAGAACATTAGAAAAAATAACATTATTTGTGTTACATTTTCCCACTACCACACCTTTCATTAAATATTTATCAACTGAAAAACAAACTAGTTGAAAAACAAACTATTAAATGCTTATTTACTCAAATATTCATTAAATAAAGTTATATTTATCTAAAAAAGCAATAAAAAATTTTTTTTGTCTTTTAAAAAAAAAGAATTTAATGTCTTAAGAAAATGTCTTCAAAAAAACTAAGCAAACAGTACAACCATAATTGCATCCTAATTTTTAAGTTAAAGAATATTTAAAACAGTTAGCATCTTTGATTTGTTGTAAAGTTTCAATCGGTAAGTTTATTTTAAGTTGTTTAACTTCAAATCATTTTGTTTTTAAAAACTATAATAGAAATAAAAGAAATAAGAAGATATTAACATCAATATGAATAACATAATCTGCAACATGAACAGAATCTGCAACATTATAATATGAACAGAATCTGCAACACTATAATATAAACAGAATCTGCAACATTATAATATGAACAGGATTATAAGCAAGATAGTATCATAGCAAAATCTTATTAAAAACAGTTGTGCTTAAATATATATATATATATATATATATATATATATATATACATATATATATATATATATATATATATATATATATATATATATACATATATATATATATATATATATATATATATATATATATATATATATATATATATATATATATATATATATATATATATATATATATACATATATATATATATATATATATATATATATAAATATATATACATATATATATACATATATATATACATATATATATACATATATATATACATATATATATACATATATATATACATATATATATACATATATATATACATATATATATACATATATATATACATATATATATATATATATATACATATATATATATATATATATATATATATATATATATATATATATATATATATATATATATATATATATATATATATATGTGTATATATATGTCTATATATATGTCTATATATATGTCTATATATATGTATATATATATGTATATATATATGTATATATATATGTATATATATATGTATATATATATGTATATATATATGTATATATATATGTATATATATATGTATATATATATGTATATATATGTATATATATATATATATATATATATATATATATATATATATATATATATATATATATATATGTGTATATATATATACATATAACAATTCTAAATAATATTCCTTATTATATAAGTAGAGAAAGCTAAAGACCATTGAATATAAATCAGAACATTCATTCAAAGTATTAAATTTTTATAAATTAATTGAAATTTAAAATTTATATTTATATAGAAAAAATTATAATTATAATATACCTTTATTTTTTATATAATTATAATATACCTTTATTTTTTATATAATTATAATATACCTTTATTTTTTATATAATTATAGTATATCTTTATTTACTTAATATAACATTAGAATATCGTTATTGCTACAAAAAAAAAAAAAATTATTTATTGGATTATTATTTGATGTTTAATTCTTTAATTTTTTTTTTTTTTTTTTTTTTTTTTTTTGTTCAGACATTGATAAACTCAAAACAGAAATCTATCTTTTGGCAGAAACTATGACATATGATGGGAAACAAAATGGGGAGAAAATAATGGGTAAATTGTTTCCACAAATTTATATAAAGTTGGAAGAAAAGATCAATGAAATTAAAAAACAGAAAGAAAATAATAGTGAGGTTCCAATAATTAGTCGAGAAGAATTCATTTCTCTTGCGAAGTCATTAAAATGTGATAATGATGATATCTTTCAAGATGATGATTTAGAACCAGCAACTAAGTTTCTGATGAACACAGGTTTCTTAAATTTTTTTAATTTTTTTTTATGTTATTGTTTGCAACTTATTTATTTGTAACTTTATTTGTAGAATTGTTATTCCTGTGATTACTTTTTTTATTTTAAATATTTTTTTTGGTGACACAATTATTACTTAAGACTGTTTTTCATTTGGCAATTTTTTTATCTTTGTTAGTTGACTGTAATTAGTTTATATTTATTGGTTGGCTTGTAATTTGTTTATTTTTAATTGGTTGGCTGTGATTTATTTTTATTGGTTGGTTTGTAATTTGTTTATTTTTAATTGGTTGGTTATAATTTGTTTATTTTTAATTGGTTGGTTGTAATTTGTTTATTTTTATTAGTTGTATCTATCTATTTTGTTCTAGTATTTTTATTAGTCAGTTGACTGTATAATAGTATTTTTATCAATGATGTGGTGTAAACATCTTTCAAACATTATTTACTTTACTAAATTATATTTTAAAAAAGCCATGAGTCAGATTAAGGATTACAACTATCATACTTGTATTTAAAATTAAAAACTGTTACCAAAACATCTGCAACAGCATCTTTGTACTTTGCAAACACTTGAACAAACAACTGCAATTTACTTGCAAGCAATTAGAGAATGTCTATCAAATTGTTAGTGGTTTTTGTATTTTTTTTTACTGTATTTTTTTATTGTTAGTGGTTTTTGTATTTTTTATTAAAAAGAAGAACAGGGACTTTAAAGTGCATGACTAAACTATGGATGTAATAAATGCAGTTAACTAATTATTTCTTTATTTTTATTTCTTTATGTTTACATATTAAGCTTTCTTTAAAAATTAATTAATACACATGGTATAAGTTTGAACCGTAAAATTTTTCTTTTTTTGTACATGTTTTTTCAATTGTTTACAACAAACCTATGATGTTTATTCTCATATTCCAAACTTTTGTGTGATGGTTACAAACAGCTTTTATTGGATGGTTACAAACAGTTTCTATTGGATAGTTACAAACAGCTTGTATTGGACAGTTACAAACAGCTTCTTTTGGATGGTTACAAACAGCTTCTATTGGATTTATTTGTTTAAAAAAAAAGTTTATAGTTTTTTTTAAACATTGCTTTTAAAAACTCATTATTTTTTAATTTTATAAAATTAATAAGACGACACTGTTCATTTTTTTTACAAATACAACAAAGGGAGAGCTCAAAAATACTTATTATTGATTAGTTCTCATAATGTTCCCAGTGTGAATGATCAAATTAAATATTCATAAACTAATTTTTCCAATACCGAATATTTAGAATACTGAAGTTGTAAATACTATATATATATATATATATATATATATATATATATATATATATATATATATATATATATATATATATATATATATATATATATTTGTATTTAATAAATTTAATAAAACAACATTTTTCCATCTTTATTCTTTCTATTAATAATTAACTGAATAATTAATCTGAATAATTAACAAATTTTTCTATCAAAAAATTAATTTGAATAATTAAATTTTTCTGCTAATATTTAAAAACCTTTTATGACTATCTTTTAGTACAGATTGTGTCTAGGTAACAGATTGTGTCTAGGTGACAGATTGTGTCTAGGTGACAGATTGTGTCTAGGTAACAGATTGTGTCTAGGTAACAGATTGTGTCTAGGTATCAGATTGTGTCTAGGTATCAGATTGTGTCTAGGTAACAGATTGTGTCTGTGTAACAGATTGTGTCTACATAACAGAATGTGTCTGGTATCAATTTAAAAAAATCTTTTTCTGACTTACTCTGATGACAAATTTTAAGTTCTTTGTTTTTTAGTGTTGTTATCAACTTTGACTAAAACTAAAATTAGTCGAAAAATTAAATAGTCGATTTAATCAATTCTGGACTTCCTACTAATCAACTAAAATTCGATTTAGTCAAGTAAAAGTCTTAAATTCCTTTCATCTTTTTATTCAATTTAACGTTTTAATCTTTAATTTTTGTTTGTTCATTTAATAACAATAATTTTAATGTTACAACTACTGTTACAACTTTTACTTTTTTTCTCTTAAAGTTTTAACTTTAAGAGAACTTTAATTCAGATAAAACTCAATTTTTTTCAGCCAATCGTTATCGCAATATTTTAGGCCTTCCTATATTTATGAATGATAATGTACTCAATGAGTCATCTACCCTTCATCTTCTAGGATTAACTCTTACTTCTGATCTTTCTTGGAAACCATATATCAAATCCATTGCAAAATCTTGGAAACCATATATCAAATCCATTGCAAGAAAGTTTTTCTTTTTTCGATTAAATAAAGTTTAATAAATAAACTTTTTATTTGATTTGTAGATATATTTGTAGATATTTGATTTGTAGATATATTTGTAGATATTTGATTTGTAGATATATTTGTAGATATTTGATTTGTAGATATTTGTAGATATTTGATTTGTAGATATATTTGTAGATATTTGATTTGTAGATATATTTGTAGATATTTGATTTGTAGATATATTTGTAGATATTTGATTTGTAGATATATTTGCAGATATTTGATTTGTAGATATATTTGTAAATATTTGATTCATTATTCTACTTATTATGATTAAATTGTATTTTTGAGTTTAAAAACTAATTGATTAAAAATAATATTAGTCAGGTAATTGTCCTGTATTTTCTTTTAACTGCTATCATCCTCGTTACTTCTCAAGCGTTGAATTAAGCAATCAGGAATAATATTTTCGAAATATCTTGAAATATTTTTAGTCCTCATCTTTTCAGTCTTTTTAACTCATAAATTATCATAAATTTCAATAATTAAAAAAAAAAAAATTTATCTCAAAACTATAACACAAAATGAGTTGTAATATAAAATAAACTCATCAAATAAAAATCATCAAATAAAAATAGAAAAATAAACCAAATAGTTTAATAAACAATTAAAATAAAATAAACATATTTTTATATTTAATGATTATTTATAATCATGAAATGTTTTAAGGTTGCGAATTGTAATATATAGTTAAAAAAGATGCAAATTTTATTTGTATCTTTTTTAACTATATCTTACAAAAAAAACACTATATACTATCAATAAAAAAACTAGTAACTTTCAAGCATTTACTAAAATTTTCTTTAACAAACGTGGTGTTTAGGAAATGTGAAAACTGATTTATAAAACTTAATTTTTAAAAGAAATAAGAAAAAAAAAATTACAAAATATTTACCAACATCTTTCCATCTTTATTTTTTCTATCAATAATTAACTGAATAATTAATCTGAATAATTAACAAATTTTTCTATCAAATAACTGAATAGTTAATTTGAATAGTTAACAACATTAAAGTTTTAAAATTGTAGTTTCCTGCTAATAAAAAATTAGCAGGTTTTTATTGGTTGATTTTCAACTTAATGCTCATATTTTTTGAACCATTTTTAGAAATGTTTTTAAAGGTAACACAGTTTCATTAAGTTTAAAATATTATTTATTTATTATATTGAATTTTTTATTGATGCATTATTATTTCAATTAAAATTTGGGATATAATCTGATAATATGAATACGCTAATTTAATATTAGTCGAGTTACGTCATTTTCTAGGCTTTTCTATTTTAAAGTAGTTTCAAGGCTTTTCTATACACGGTTTTTTTTTTTAATTTTATTTACTAACAACGCGTATTACGGGTTGCTTACTGCTAGTATTTATATTAATCTTTTTTTTTTACTTAAATCTGAATTAACTGTTGTTTAAACAACAAAAAAATTATAAATGTTATAAATTAATGCTAGTGTTATTTATTACTTTTGTATTCTTAAATTTTTTTTTTTTTTTTGGTAAATAAAATCAAGTTAATTTGCCCTCTCAATAACAACAGTTTTTCATAAATCAAAATTTTAAGAACTAAAATTTTTCCAGATTTTCCAGATATGTTTCCTTCTAACTGATTAGCAACTTCATTCTCAATAGCTTTATGTTTGAATGAAAATGCCTTAATCTATTTATACTTGCAACAGCCTTCTGTTAAATCATTAGATGTTAATCAATATCTTCTCTGTGAAGCCATTTGATTTGTAAATCTAAGAGTACCAAAAAGTACTTGATAATAAAGTACTTTTTGAAAATGATAATGAAGAATTTACATATAGAGGATGTGACACATTCATAGGTCTTTACATATAGAGGATGTGACACATTCATCTCTCAAAACTGAAGACCATTCTTTGACTAGACCAGTTTAGACAAAGAGTGGTCTTCAGTTTTATTTTCATCAGGTAAAGTAGCATCAATCCCATAGCTGATGAGCTGTATTTTCATCAACTTGTGCAGCATTTTGTTGTGATGAAATATTCCATCTGCATCAAATTCTTCTGACCAAATCTGCTTGTATCGGCTTGTCCTGTTTTTGCTCAATCAATTCATTTGCTGAGGAATCTAGAAAGATCCATTGTTAATAATTCTGTTCTGCCCCAACTATTTTTTTTGAATTTAAAATTTTACAGTGCTTGATATATTTAAAAAGTGTAGTTTTGAATTAATGTTCAAATGAAGCATGCATATGTTAGGAAATAGATATGAAAGCGCAATTTTTACTCGTGCCAAAATAAAAACATGCAGTTTTCCTGATGCAGTAGTGACATTTGAAATTTGAGTGTTAAGCTTTTTTTCTTTGATTTGAAACACAACAAATACTTAGAAATCCTTGTTTTAAAAGATTTTATTTGTCCTTAAAAACTTGTTAAGAAGACGTTACCTGAGACTTGTTTATAACTAAACAAGTCTCAATTAAACATTGTGACTTGTCTTTGCAAATACAAAATTAACTCAAATAGATAAAAATCAGATTAAACTCAAATAGAAAAAAAAACTTTAGTAGTAATATTACAAATATCAACTATATAATAATTTTAAAAGTTAATTTTTTTTTTAGTTTTTTTTTTTTTTTTAATTTATTCAACTTTTCATTCACAGGAACTATTCTTCATTTTGATGGTGCGAATGAAGGTTTAAGAGATATCATTTTTATTAATCCATCTTGGATTTGCAAATTAATGTCAAAATTTATCACTGTAGATGCTGTTCATACATTTGTTAAAAATGGTATTTTAGAAAAAGATAAAATTCCAGTAAGTAAATATTAACAATGAAAGAATTGTTTTTTACTTTTGCAAATGTTTTACAAGCACAAGATTAATGAGAGTATTATTTGAAAACATTTCAAATCATAACCCAGTGGACACGAGTATTATTTTAAATCATAACCCAGTGGGCACAAGTATCATTTTAAATCATAATCCAGTGGGTATGAGTATTATTTTAAAACATAACCCTGTGGGCACGTGTCATTCTCTCAATGTCAGATGAAATGTAGCAAAAAGAATAATTAAGTGTTATTTGAAGAATATTATTTATGTATAATTAAATAGAATTGTGAAACTAAGTAACCAATTAAATTTTATTTCATACACACAGCAGATACCACCTTAATGTATATACAGTAAGGTGGTATCTGTTGTGTAAAAAAATAGATAAAATAAATTAAGAAATAAATTGGATAGGTTTTATGCCATTACCTATATCTTACAAGATTTGATTTGAAGCTAACTGGTAAAAAAGAAGTTGCATCTGTAGTTTGCAAAAAAACAAATTTTGAAAAATGGCAGGAATTCACGCAAAACAGGAAAAAAATACTGTTAAAATGATACTGCATCTGCAACTTTACTTTTTAATTAAAACAAAAAAGATTTACTTGATAAATAATTTTAAAATTTGTTATTGAAATTTATTTTTATGACAAACAAATTATTTTAGGAAAAACACTTTAAAAATGGTTGTAAGGGGGTTATTTATAAAACCTTTTTTTAAATAGCATGTCATTAGGTTTTATTAAACTAAACTAAATAAGAAAACTGTTAAAAATATGAATATTTATAAATGCATTTATAATATAGCTATAATATATATGCATTAAATAGAATATAATATATATGCATTTATTATATAACATTTATATTATCATGTAAATAATAAATTCAAAAATAAATTAAGATATTTCACTATTTTTATAGTTTTTATTATTTCTTATATTTTCATGTTCACTAGTTTATAGTAATTAATATTTTATATATTTTTATTTTCTTATTAGTTGGTAATCAACAAAGAAATAAGCTTCGTTATTTTAAATTTAAGAAAATTATTTAAATTATTTTTATTAATTTAATTAATTTATTAGCATTATTTTAACTTGTTCAAATCTGAATTGACTGATTTGACTTAAAAAACTTTGCTTTTTTTGTTTTGATAAGAATTTAAATATTTTGCCAAAACCAAGATGCAGTTAAATAGTAAATTACTTATATGCATTCCTTTTTAAATTAATTTATTGTATCATTTCTTACCACAAGCTTTAAAAAATGATCTTGTAGTTTGTTTATTTTTAACTGCAATAAATTAACTTTTAATATTGCAAGTTATTATATTTTAAATTTAGTTATATTATTCCATTAGTAATGCAATAATATAACTAAAGTCAAATGCATTGCATTAATCAGCAATGCAATGAATTGCTGATTAATGATTAATTTGCTTTTTTAAATTATAATATTACTTTAATGCAGTATTATAATTTAAATGCTACACATGGTTGCATTGCTGAATTATAATATTGAATTAGTATGTATATAATTGCATTATTTTCAAAGCCTAATTTTTTTACTTTTTTTTTATTTAGTTAATTTTAAAAAAAGAACTGGGAAATGAAAATCCTGATTTAATAAAAAAATGTATAAGTTTATTATCACGATTTCAAGTTGCTTGCAAGATAGATGATCATAGAGTTCTTATTCCACCGAAACTTCCAAGTTACGATCCAAAATATGCATTGTTGATCAAATCAAATAGCCTACTCACTCGTTATTATTTTTTTAGCTGTATTCCCAATGGTTTTTGGGCTCGATTTATTACGCGTTTTTTATCAATGACTAAAGAAATGTTATCACCCAAACCAAATACTGAAACAAAGCCCAAAGTTTCTATAGTAAGGAACGATTTACCAAAAGATGAGCTAGATGCTGTAATGTCTTATTGTAAAGATGAGAAACCTCCTAAAATAAATGAAACAAACTCGTCAAACATTCTATATGTTATAACCTCTCCCAAAACAAACTCTACTTTAAATCAAATTCATTTTTTTCAGCAACTATCCAGAAATATAGAGCCATCAATTAACAACCCCTCTGTCTTTAATAATGTTGATAATTTAGTACGTTGTCTTCCGATAAAGTGTTTTCCGAATAACTCTGAAACATCAAATGATTCTAAAAATAGTAATTCAAGTAGTTCGTCAAGCAGTACTGTGTCAGCTGAGAGTTTTTTTAACTCTGATGCAAAAGCTCTGTATCATAGTTCTAGCAGTTGTAACAGTAGTATAAACAAAAAACTAAATAGTATTTGTAGTAAAAAAGTTCCAAGTAATTCACACAATGAATGTGTAACTTTTATGTCTACTACAGGTATTGTTATTGATAATGACACTAGTAATGATTTTGATAATGATATCAATAAGTTTGTTATCAATCCTAATAATTATGACAATAATAGTGAGCATAAAGATTTTAATACTGGCATTAATAAAAACTATTTAAATAATGTCAATAAAGATATTTATAATGATTTTATTGATGGAACCAATAATAGCATCAATAATAGCATTAACGCTGATTTAAGTAAGGACATCACTAGTTATGTTATTAATGATGTTAATTATAGCATTAATAATGGTGTTTATAATGATTTTAATGATGGAATAAATAATGATGTTAACAATGATTTGAATAACAGCAACTATAATTGTGCTGATAATGGAATAAACAATGGCATTAATAATGATGTTAACAAAATGGTTAATGAAATTCTTCCTGCTGTAGATAGTTGTTTTAATCATGTTAATGAAAATAATAATTTTATACAGCATCTCAGTGATGTTATGATTATATCAAAAGAGTTTCAAGATTGTGTAATCCATAAGTTTGAAACAAATTCAAATGAGGAACTTACAAGTGATGGAATTGTAAAAAAAGGAATAAATATAGTTGTTGCAGCAAATGAAAATCAAAATGAAACAAAAAACATCAATCTTACAAATTCTCAATCAGATTGTATGGTTGATGTTGAGCTTAATTTTGATCAGAACTGCAACATCTCAAATAATAGTGGCGTTAATAATGAGTTAAATAACAACATCAATAATTTTGTTACTAACGCCATTAATTATAACATTAATAATGGTGCTTTTAAAGAAGAGCTTCAAAGCTGCACAATTCCTTATCTTAAAACAAATAAAAATGAGGTAATTGCATGTAATGGAATTGTAAAAATAGAAACAAATTTAGTTGTTGCAGCAAATGAAAATCAATATGAAGGCAAAAACACCAACTTTACAGATTCTCAATCAGATAGTGTAATAAGAGCTGAGCTTAATTCTGATCAAAACTGTAACATCTCAAGTAGTTTTGATCAGAACTGTAACATCTCAAATAATTGTGAAAGTAGTTTTAAACAAGTTGGTGAACAAAGTTGTGATCCGCCAACTATTGTTAATGAGCTAATCAATGTAAATCCTAGTGACTGTAATTGTAATGATGGTAATTGCAGCAATGATGAGATTCCAAAGCAAACTAATTATAATGTAAGTTCTAATGTCAAAGATATTCCTATCTTAGATTCTCATATTGATGCTCATGTAGATGGCATTGTTTTCGAAAATGATGACAATAAAAATACTGAAACTGATGGTCATATGCATGTGGCAACTGAAGTGGACAATGGTTATTTTGATGCTAGCATGCAAATAGTTTCAAAACAAGACTGTGAAGATTATAATTGTACAAATGAGGAAAAAAAAGAAGAAAATGATGAACTTGAATCTCAACTTATAAATGAACTGTCCAATAATGATGAAGATTATGAAGAACATTTTAATGATTATGGAGAACTAGCTTATCTGTTGGACAATGGCTATTTAAGTTGCTGGAATAAAGGAATTATATTTAATCACCCACAATTGTGTTTTTCTATACAACAGCTACCTATCTCATTTAAAGCAGATAGAAAAACGATTGAAATATGTGTAACTAAATCTTCCTTAGGTTATCGTGTTCTCAGCTATGTTGTTGATCATATTAGAACACTTTTAAATGAATGGTTTGAAGGTTTGTTGATGTCACACAAGGAACCTCATGTAGTTTCTTCCCTGGCATGTCCTATATGTACGAGCTTGGGCATAAATCCACCTCATTTGTTTAACATAAGTACTGCCTTTCAAAAACTGTATCAAATCTCAGAAAATAATACTTGTGCTGTGTTTTGCGAGCGAAAACATGTACCAAGAACAATAAATATAACAGAGTTTTGTCCGGATCTTACGTTTCAAGATTTACCAAAAACAATGAAGTTCAATTCCAATGATATTCAATGTGAGCAAAATGAAAATTGCAAACTGGGAGAAGGCCAATTTGCAAAAGTTTATAGTGGTTTTTGTAAAAATAAAATCAAGGCTGCAATAAAGTTTTATAAATTCAAGATGAACAATTTAGATGAACTTTCATCATCATTGAATCAGTTTTATGAAATTCGACAAGAAATTGTAATGCTCAGTAAATTACGTCATCATCCTTATATAATTCAATTTTTAGGTTTTTTGCTGAGGCCAGAATTGTGTGCTGTGATGGAATGTGCTAAACATGGCGCTTTATCATCTCTCATTTATGATGAATCTAAAACCAAAGTTATCCCCAGAATTGTTAAGTTTCGAATTTGCCAGCAAATTGCAAGTGCTTTAGCTTTTATGCATAAAAAATATATTATTCATCGCGATATAAAGTCAGATAATATTTTACTATTCTCGCTTAATCATAATGCAAAAATCAATATCAAGTTAACTGACTTTGGTACAGCGAACTTCATGAGTCCAAGTGGTTTAAAAACATTTTTTGGTACTAAAGGTTATGCTGCTCCAGAAATGATTTTACACAAAATGTTTTTGGATGAATACACTTCTAGTGTTGATATATATTCGTTTGGTATGGTTATATATGAGTTAATTGCATATAAAAGACCTTTTTATCATGTTGAGGCTTTGCATATAGATAATGAAGTCACAAGTGGGTCTCGACCTTCATTTGATAACATTCTAGATGCATCTTATGGGTTGGTTAATTTAACCAAGTTGATGATAACCATGTGGCATCAAGAGCCCTCCAAAAGGCCTCCTGCTAATGACATTCTTAATATGTTGTCTCCAGCTTTTCAATTAGTTTTTGGTTTTAAAATGTTAGATTCTACAGAAAATCCACGTGATTGGTGTTATATAAGCAGCTGTAACACACTTTGGATTACATGTGATGACAAGAAAGGTGAATACTTTATAAATAAGTATATGTTTATTATTGTTATTATTATTATAATAATCAATTATTATTATCATTATTATTATTATCATTTTTATTTTTGTTTTCATTTATTTCTGTTTTTAATATATATTTCATTTTTGAATAAAATTTTTTGTTTTGTCAGTTATTAAAATGATTCATAAATATATTAAGTTATTAAAATGAAGTCTTGCTGGTTTATTAATTACAACTTACCTTTAATTTTTATGCATCATTAAAATATTTGCTTATTTGTTGTTTGCTTATAGAAATTCTTTTGCTTAACTCAAAGCAAAGACCATATTTAGAATTAATTATTTTTATTTTACTTAACACTGTTTTTAAACAAAAAAGGATCTAAGTCATATATAAGTTTAGGATTTTGAGTTAGTAAATTTATTACTATGTTTGGTTGTGATTTTTAGAAGGTAAAATTTTTCAAAACAGTCAAAATAAAAAGTTTTATACATTTGTGAAATACAAAGTTAAAGGCAATAAACTCATTTACATGTACTAAAGCAAGAATGTAAAAAAACATTGCTTTAGGAAACAGAGTTGTGAGAAACCATTGATATATAGGTGTTTAAGAAAAACATGATATTTTTCGATAATGACATGTTTTTTAGTTTACATACTACATTTGACATGTTTCTTAGTTTACTGCATACTACATTTTCTCAAGATAAAATTACAATTAAAACTCTGGAATATAAAATCAAATTTGAAGGCATTACAGTGATAACTAAGTTGAAGGTAATAATCTCATTTACATGTACAAAAGCAGGAATGTAAGACAACATTGCTTTAGGAAACAGAATTGCAAGAAACCATTTATATATATATATATATATATATATATATATTGTATATACTTTTTTAAGAATTATTTAAGATATGTGAACACTTAGAGATTACTTTAATTGTTTTGACTAGTTCACCTAAAAATCTAGTTTAATTTAATTTATTAACTATATTTAAGTAAGCATTAACCCTTTTGTGATGAGTGATCTATATGGCGGTTCATAATATTTGTTTCTAAATGACGAGTGACCCACGTGGCGGTTCGTAAACACTTTTATATATTCAAAACGATCTACAGCAATTGGGAAAAACTTTAAACTTATGTTTGAAATGTGAATAATTTCTTAAGCTAATGTTTCAAACTATTTGTTAATTGCATTTATAAATCCTCAAAAATCAGTTTTAAAAAATAACTTAAAATAAAATAAATTTTACTGATATAAATGAGATCCTTGTTTTGTTTGTTTTTCTATAATAGTGATGGAGATTTTTTTTTGTTTGATCACCACTATAAATGCCTCATTTATTTAATATCGAAAATGATATATTTATGTATTTCTTCTTTATTTGTTTAAGGTTACATAAAGAAGCTATATATTTTTGTTAATTTCAACATGGTATAATTTGATCATGTTACTTAGATAATAAAAAAGTTTTTAAAGTTTTTTAATATGTTAAGTCAATTTCAGAAATTTTTATTAGTTATGGTAAATTAACTTTTTTTTGCAACTTTTTTGCAACTTTATTGCAAGCATTAGATTTTTACATCTGTTTTCTTGATTTTTGATGACTAAATTTAGGGCAATTTCCAAGAATTGGTGCGAATAGATTCTGATGTCAAATCCAGTTAATTTGTTTAACGATGTTTTCTTTATATGTTCCTTTACAAAAAAAAAAAACACTGTGCATATTAATTGAAGAAATATGATAAATTAACACTTTGGCTACTCTAAAGTGATTTTTTTGATTTTTAGACTTTTTCCAGTTATACAACAAACTCATTATGTTATCAAGTGGTGCTTTTTTTTTCAAAATACACTTACTGGAGCCTTGAATCAAACAAATCCAAATCCAAAATGGTTTTCTTGAAAAATTGGATAAAGGACTTTTGATCTAAGTTGTAAACTAAACTAGATCAAAACGTTTCAATGTGATTCCAAAATATTTATACACATTTTTTGTGTGATTATTTTAGGTGCTCCAAGAAGACATAATGGTCGCATCACGGAGAACCGCAGAAGAGTATTTAACTTTGTAGTTTATGCTTCCTTTATTTCGAAAAAAAGCCTAAAGTAGGCATCGAACCACAGATCAGTGAAGGATTTAGCATTTTTTGGTGTTTAAGATAGCTAACAGACATGACGTAAACTCGAAACATTTGTATGTTTATACTGATGTCAAATAATTATGCTTTGCAAAATATTGCCCTGATTGGAGGCTGAAAACTAAAAAAGCCCTAAAATTTCATCCCCCCTGCCCCAAACGTGAAAGCAACAAGTTTGTAAAGTAATTTTTTTGAAATTCTTTATTTATATTCATTGATAAGTTTTAAGTTTCTTGTAATATCTGTCTGAGTTCATAAATTATAGCCATATAAAGTTTCACCCCCCCCCCACCTCAATTTAAGGGGGTTACAAATTTTATATAGTCATAATTTTTGAACGCTTAGAAATTGTAAAACAACACTTAAAATTTATCAATGAATATAAATTTAGTTAAGAATAGCAAAAAAATTATTTCATCAAATTGTTGCTGTCAGGTTTGGGGCAGGGGGGATAAAATTTTAGGACTTTTTTTAGCTTCCAGCCTCCAATCAGCGCAATATTTTGCAAAGAATCATTATTTGACATCAGTATAAACATACAAATGTTTAAAGTTTATGCCATGTCTGTTAGCTATCTCAAACAAAAGTATAGACATACAAATGTTTAGATTTTGCTCCATGTTAGCTATCTCAAACACTAAAAAATGTTGGATCCGTCACTTCCACAGATCTCTTGTTTCTTAAGCAAATTTGCTTCAGAATTCAGCGTTTAAACGCTGCAAATGTGCAATAAATATTTATATACATATAAGTTTTTAGCCTGAAAAATATCTCAAAAAAATATGTAAAAAAATAGTTTTTAAATGCACTTTTAAGGTTCAGAGTTTGCAGTTAGATATCGGATCAAAATCAATTTATTATAACCATTCAATAACGAGAAAGCATTCGATGTAGCTAGCTCCTTGAATCCACTCATCTTCTTTTTTTAATAGTTTTTTTACAAGAACTTTTTATTTGAAGTAACTTCTGAAGCTGTTCTTTGCTCATCACATGCTCTACATTATCTTGAATAAATTTTGCTGTATTCTCGAGTCTCTAATACACTGGGAGGGACGTTTATTAATTTTAGGAAAAATTTCACACCCACCCCAAAATAAAAAATTTCAGCGTAAACAGGCTTTTATTTTTTACGCTGAAATTTTTTATTTTTTACAAAAAATAAAATTTTTTAGCGTAAACAGGCTTTAAATATCACCGACCAAGTAAATCCCCACTATTGAAAATGAGCTTTTAATTTATTTCTCACCAAAGAATAAAACTTATTAAATCCTATTGAAATTATTAAAAAACAGCTGTTAGAAAATGCGCATTTGACCACAAGCCACACTAAATTTAAATTAAATTTAAACTAAAATTTTTTTTAAAAAAATGCTTATATTTTAACGTAAAAAAATCCCATCCCCCCATTCCCCACTTGTATTAAGGACTCGCGAGTAAGCACAACAAAATTTATTTTTTCATTACGAAATATTTATCTTAAAACAAGAAATACGTTTCTTGTTTTAAGAAATAAATATCCTGCACTTTTGCACACTACAATTTATTTTTAAAAACAAAAAATATATTTCGTGTTTTGAAAAATAAATTTCTTAAAATATACTTCATAGATTTACGATTTTGCTGTGAGTTCTGATGCAAAACTTTTAAAATCTTGCAGCTTTGCAAGGTTTTAAAAGTTTCGGAATTCATTGTACCCTAAAAGTCTGAGGGAGTCTTTATCAACAAAAACTGCTTTCAGAAGGATTTCAGCTTTGATTCTATCCGTTTTTATATCTTTTGAGACCTCCCTTTGTTTTGGAAAACAGAACTTTTTACCATTTTTATATTATGATCTAAGTCAAAAGATGCTAACGCCAGTACCAAACACCTCTAAGGTTTTAGCATGATTTAAATTTCACCCTTGCAGCATGCTCAATATACATCTGCCAATAGCCTTGATAATCTTAAAAGTATAAGTTAAAAATAATGCAATGTAGATAAAATAAGGTTGAAAATGACATTGTAAATACTTATTACATTTATTTTTGACAAGATAAAATCAAAGTGCTATTTCTATTTTAACCTTTTTTGGTTTTATGATGTAAATAGTTTATTCACCAGCTTAACAGTTTTATTTACGGCTTCGACTACATGAAGCTCTCCGACATGATGGCAGGAGATTAACATTAATAATGGTCGGCCAGGAAAGCTAATCTCGTACTGACTCCTTTTAATTAGCCACGGCTTGACGTTGGTGAACTGTATGAGATTAAAAGCAAATAAAAAATTTCTAATTGCTTTGTATTGGGCCTCAACGCTAACGTGTTTAAGAACCACATTTTTTTAATTTCATAACGAATTTGTGCGTTTTTAAAATACCAACAAAAATAATAGTAATAAAAATGCGCACAATCGGTATAGATAAAAAACCTTCCATTACTTGTAATAACCTTAGTATGTATTTAATGATTTTTAAATTTTTATTCGCGCCGATTGTTTGAAAATCCCCGTAAAAACTCAAAAAATGTGAAAGTGTTAAACTTTGAAAGAGTGACGCAAGTATAAATGATTGTCTAAAATAAAAGATTTCATTAATAAAACAATACTTTGGAAATATTTTACGACACTCCACGTAATTAAAATTTGTTCAAGAGCGTTAAAATGAGAGGGGTTAAAATACATCTTTAAATCTCACAACAGTTTTAAAGCTTTCAATAACCATCAGGTTAAGTAGATAGCATATGTAGCAGGTAAAGTAGATAGCAAATAGCGTTGCTAATCAAATATGATTTTTTCTTCCTATATGTAAGATTTAAAAAAAAATCTATTTTTTAAACATTTTTTGATTGACTTTGGTTATTTAAAAAACCAATGTCAATCAAAAAATGTTGTAAATCATTGTAACATCGCCAGTCTTTCCAAAAAATTGTAACATCGCCAGTCTTTCTAAAAAATTTTACATCGGTATTAGCGATAACGCATTCAAGCTTAGGTTTGCAAACCACCTGAAGTCCTTTAATGCAATCAGGTATAGAAATGATACGGAATTTTCTTTAAACGTTTTCCGTTTTAAACGGAACCCAAAAATCGCTATAAAAATATTCGAAGATTGTTTAAAGTATGTCCATGATAATGGAACAACTTAAGTAGTGACTGTAGAAAAAATTAAAAAAAAAATGTTATTAGAAAGAGTCAATATCAAAAAAAACTTATTAAAGTTTAGGGTTTGATAAGAAATTGATTATTAATCCCGTGGGTCTTACCTGTTCTTACCGTGGATCTTCATGTTCTAAATATCAATCTTGTTTAAGGATGCATCTATAGTGCTACATTTTTCTAGTTTTTATTCCATTTTTTTTTTTACTCAATAAAACTCAAAAGTTTTTCTTTTTTAAGAAGCACTGTTATTTGATTAAATTTATGCAAAACCAACTAAGTATCTACATTATAACATTACAATATTTATCCTTATGAATTTTTTTTTTTTTAGCGCAATACATAATTGTAATCAATATGGAACGTTTTGAAATTGTCAAAAAAATTGAACTAAAAGCTAAAGATTTTGAATTGGAGAATTTCAATATGTCATCCATTACACCTATTGGTGATAAACATGTATGTGTTGTGTTACGAAGTCTTAATGATATTCTTTTAATTTGTAAAGCCAAGGACTACAGTTTTAAAACCCATAAAATAGAGGATGGTTATATTTGTTCGATCTCTGCAAACAAAGATTGGGTTTGTCTTGGGTTTGACGACGGCCGTTGTTCTAAGATAAAAATAAAAACTTTTTTAAACGGTAAATTAAAAACATTTCATAACTTCAAATTAAAGGAAAGTTTTCCCGTAACTACCTCGGTTTTATCGTCCGAATCATTCATTTGGTCAGCAGGTTGTTCATTCATACATTGCAACTTAAAGAAAAATGACGAAGAAAAGATACGCGATGATACTGAAAGAAATGTTAAAGAAATCGTTTTATCGTTTGATGAAAAGTTATTTTTTGTTTCTTATCAATCTAGTCCTGCAATTCATATCTACAGTACAGAAACTAAAGAAGTAATACACAAATTTAGTTGTCAGGACGATATTTTAAAGTATTCACCAGAAGCACTTAACGTTGATCTCAGAGTGACGTGCATGTGTTCAGTCAATAATATGTTGTGGGTTGGTACCGGAAGCGGACATATACTTATTTATGAGGTGCGTGACGTTGGTAGGATTTATAAACTATTGCAAGCACTTCATCCATATGCGATTGAAATGAGAAAACTTTTGCTTGTTGTCTTGACTCAAGCACGTCAAGACGGCGTAAAATATCTTATCGTTAGTATTGGAAAAGAATTAAACAAAAACGCATTCGGATTTAGTTCGGTTTTTGAATTTAACGGTTATGTTCCGAAAGATCAAACAGCAAAAGATGAAAAACGCTTAGATAATGGTTGTAATGGCGGTAACAACGGCAAGGTAATTATTGTTTGGCATGTTTTGGAGTCGCACCAATATGAAAACTTAATTTTATAATATTATAAAAAAAATTTAACTTTGCCGAGGTTGTGAGAGGTATTTTTTGATTTTCTATGCTATTTCTTTAATGCAAGTTTAGTGTTTTAAATTTGTTTTTACAAACCGCTTTTTTTTATAATTTTTATATAATTCGTTGTTCGTTTGTATACCATTAAATCATCGAAATTTGAATTTTTATAATTATATTTTACAAATATATTTAAAATTAAAAAAGCCTGACTTATTTCTAGTATAAAATACTTTTAAAATTACACATACTTTGTATTACAACATATAATACAAACTGAAATATAACAATACCTCTATTTTTATTGTTTTCAATGCGTTTTGGGCCAATTTAATTGTTCAGATTTTGTAACTTTTCCAATAAGAACCCACTATTTTTTTTCTGAAATCACTGTAATTAAGTCTGAAATTTAATTTAGTTAAATTTAATAGAAAAAAAATATATAATGTAATTTAAAAAATTTATAATAGAAAAAAAATATATAATATAATTTATAAAATAATTTAAAAATTTTACAACATATATACTCTCATACAAGATATCAACATTTAAATCTTAAATAATATAATTTATATAATATATTTTAAAAGTATAATACATAGATCGTTTTATATTAGTAATAGTCTTTTTGTTAAAATTAAAATCACACAGTTCACAAGTTTAACTTTTTATTTTTTCTAAATTTATTAATTTTGTTTACCCTAAGTTTATCCTTTTTTATTAAGCTTTTAATAATAGATCGTCCATAAATTACGCAATGCTATAACTGATTTAAAAAGAAGTAGGATATCATTTGCAAATTAGTCGCGGCGAGTTTCATTGAACTTGAAGGCTATTTTATTTTTTTAATTTTTTTTATTTTTGGTAAAGACTCTGTTTTGCCTATTTGATTATTTGATTTATAGTCCATATTTGTTAATTAAATTTATTAATCTAAATAAAAAGATATTATTATACAGCTATACAGTTAAACCATAAGTTAATATTCGATAACTATAACCTTGGAAGTATCCATCTAGTCGGAATCACGTGACTTATTGCGCAACAAAAGTAACCATATTGAATGTAGGGAAAACAAATCATTACACCTTAACGCAAAGATAAGAAAGCGCTTGTAATAATGTCGTTCAATTATTTTGAAAGTTTATCAAAAGAAGCAGCAGAAAGATATCAGCGAAAATTAAGTCTTTTAGGTGATTATTTTTCATGTTAATTTACTTTTTTAAATAATTTTCGTCAGAATAAACGAAAATAATGCATAGCATTTTGATCGTTTTAGGATTGGACAAGTGTCCATATAAGTATCCGGCTGATTCTTGGACTGAAGATCCAAGTCAATGGCCTTCCTTAAGTTATCATAATCTATATCAATACCTGATTAAGACTCCATGTAAGAAATATTTCTAAATAGTTGTTTATAAGTTATTATATATTTATTAAGTTATTATATATTTAATTCCTAAATCCTAAAATTATGTTAGTTTGCTCAGTGAATATTAATGTTTGCTTACACTTATTTTAAACATTCAACACTATGTAGGCATCTATTCTCCAGAAGCTATGGAAAACTACAAGTCATTGGAGGCTTGGAGGTTCTTTCAAGAAGGTTGGGTGCAAACTGTTGTCCATATGAAGATAAGTCAAGATATCATGATCTTAAAATGTGATGTTAGACCTTCTTACAGAACCACATCCCCTAATCATAAACCTTGGATTGCTCTTGGTTTACTTGGTAATGTAGTGACTGCTCACTGTAATTGTATGGCCGGGTAAGTGTCTGGAGAGCATTTGACTATAATAATTTAACACTAAAAGTTATCTTGTTTTATGAACTACTAAATTTTGTTTACATTATTTAAATCTGTTGAAATTATTTAAAGGTGTTTTTGGATTATTTAAATCTATGGTTTATTGTTTTTAACAGCCTTGGTGAAACATGCTCACATGTAGCTGCAACATTATATAAAGTTGAAGCTGCTGTTCGCATTGGAATGACATCATCCACACCAACTGATTTACCATGTCAATGGAATCAAACATTTGTAAAAAATATTGTTGGTTCCCCAGTTTCTCAAATAAATTTATATTCTGATGCTGCTAAAGAGAAACTTACAGGAAAAAGAACTAGGAAAATGCCTGTTTCTCCAACAAATATTGAAAAATATCAGTTTTTGTCAGAATTGAAAAGTGTACAGCCCAAAACAGCTGCTCTCAGTTTGTTTAAAGATTTTGATACTGAATTTATACACTTAGAATCTACTGTTGTAGCAAAATTGCCTTTATCTCTCAGAAATTTTTTCAATGCAAACTATAAATCTCTAGATAATGAACAGTTAAATTCTTTTTTTGATGAGAAAATAAAAGATTTAAAATTAAATTCTGATGACATTGTCTATGTTAAAGAAGCAACTCGAAATCAATCTTTGTGTGATTCTTGGTATCAGGTACGAGTCGGACGAATAACTGGTTCTACTTTGTATCAAGTTTTTCATGCTAGAGTTGAGACACCACCTAAATCTTTAATTTTAAATATTTGTTCAGAAAAGAATATAACAATAAAAAGTCCTCCAATTGTGTGGGGAAGAGAAAATGAGGAAAATGCATTGACTTTATATACCCAACTTTATTCAGACTGTAATGAAGCTCATAACTTATTGGCACTTTCAGACATTGTCATCCATCAAAATTTAAAAGTTGAAAAATTAGGGCTTTGCATCGACTATGAAAAACCATGGTATGCAGCATCTCCTGATGCTTCTGTGTATTGCACTTGTTGTGGACATGGAGTTTTAGAAATCAAATGCCCTTTTAGTTTAAAAGACAAATCTTTGAAAGAAGAAATACTGAAAGATGTTTTTTATGTAGGATTAAATACGGATGGGAAATATTTTTTACAAAAACAGCACACATATTTTTTCCAGGTTCAGCTTGAAATGAGAGTTACTGGAGTGAGCTATTGTGATTTTATGGTATGGACACCCAGTGAGTTTATAGTTTTACGTATTGAACCTGACATTAGTTTTATGGAATCGGTGTTTAATAAATGTGATGTTTTTTGGAATAGATTTATTTTGAGGGAATTAGTAACAAGAGAAGTTGAATCAGGGATGAAATTGCCCTCCTCTACATTAACAGAAACCATAAATAATGATGATAATGTTTTTTGTATTTGCAAATCTAAAAGCTCAGAAAATGATGATACAATGGTCGGCTGTGATTCATGTGATAATTGGTTTCATCTTAAATGTATATCTTTGAAATCTGTGCCAAGATCGTCTGTATGGTATTGCAATAGCTGTAAAAACAAGAAAAAGTCTGCACACAAAAACGTAATTATTTTTTATAATTTCAGCAGCAAAAAGTTTTTTTTTAATAATACATTTTTTTATTATTATCTTCTTAGAAACCAATACATTAATGGAGTAGTATTAATGCTATTCTCCTTATCATTTTCATGATATTTGTTGTTAACATTATTATGCTCAGAAATGGAATGGAAAAATCATAATTTGAGGTGAAATAAAGAATATCCCATTTTTAAAAAACGGCTATTTTCATAGCCACATATTATTAAAAACATTAAAGCATATGATATAATATTGAAAAAAACTGTTACAGATTAATAGATAATCAAACTCTTCCTATTCTCCGAAATCTCGGTGAATAGGAATGGGTTGATTACCTGGTCTAAATAAAAAAGAAGTAAGGCGGTATTTTTCCTTAAGTTAATCGGTTTCTTTTTTAGAAAAAATTCATTTACCTTAGTCCTCGGGGGAAAACATTTTGTCGTATTTTATGTTATAATATTGTTTTAAACCCAGGGGTAATCTTTTTCCGGATATTTTTCTAAATGTTATGTTTTTCCGGATGTCCAAACTGTCTGACCTACATATTATTTGTTTGTATTTTTGTAATTTATATATACTTTATTTGGTTTTTCATTCATACAACAATATAAAAAAGAAATAGGAAAGTAAGAGTAAATATATAACGGATTTTTTCCGAATACACAACTGTTTATACACAACTGTTTACCGGATTTTTAAAATATGACTTGGATAATCACTGTAAACTATCGTTGTTCGATGACGGCTCATGTATGCAAGATTAGTAATGAAGGAAGCGTGAAATAAATACTGTTACGCGGTGCTCTATAAAAAGACCCTTAGCACTTCTTGGAGCACCTAAATAAACAAAATCTTATTTATCAATGTTATACAAAAAGTCTAATGCGTAAATTGAACTCTCAAAATACTAATGATAACAATGTTTCTATTGAATAGATTCCAACGATATTTTTTTACGCAAATTTATTCAAAATCAAATTTAGGAAATAAAATTGTAGTAACAAATTATTTTACTAAAAAATCGTATTAACAAGTTATTACATTTTTGACAAAGCGGTATCGAAATGTATTTTCATATTTAATTCAGACGCCGGTCGATATTTTATTCATTTATATTTTTATGTTGTAAAGTTGTGGCTCGTTTTTTTCAAACCTAATAAATATCTTAATTGGTATTTTGCACATTTATTAGATTTATAAATATTCTATTAAACTTATTCAACACACCTAAATAACTTTAAAGAATGGACTAGTTTTCATGATCATTTTCCGTATCGTATTGTATTCCATACCATATACATTTCGTATTGAATAGTGAAAATCCTTATTTACAGGGCTGTTAACAGCAAAAGTAGATCCCAAATGTATTTGCGGTCTGAAAAAATGTACCATGTAATGCAGAAAGGCTTCTTCTTTTTCCGGGGCACCAGGGACGATATACATAGATCATCCAGGTAATATTTTTTTAAAAAAAAGGGAAATTCTTTGCGTAAAATATCCGGAAAAAATGCGGAATATTTTTTCTCTTATTTTCCTCATAATTTGCTTTCAGCTGAATTGTATCTTAATTTTTTTGAAATTTTCTTTTTTGAACGAGTGATGACTAAAAAGCCCCTAAAAATCAAATATATTATCTAAACATATATATAAACTTGTATGTATAGAAAACTTTTTGGATATCCGAAAAAACTAAATAAAATATCCGGAAAAAGATAATCCCTGATTATACATTGATCATCCGGGTCATATTTTAAAAATTAGGTAAGATATCCGGTATAATCCGGATTATATTTTCCACTTTATTTTGCTTTTACCTGAGTTGATTTCCATTTTAATTTTAGTATGACATACAAAAATTATCAACTTTAAGTTTTCCCAGATATCCTAAAATTTTCCAGAAATTAAAGCTGAGGTATATATTTTGGAAATATATTTATTTTTATGCTTTTTCACTTATCGCTAATACAGTATGAGCAATAAGTGAAAAAGCTTGAAAATAAATATATTTCCAAAAGATATACCTCAACTTTAATTTCTGGAAAATTTTAGGATATCTGGGGAAACTTAAAGTTAATAATAATATCCGAAATTCCAAAATTTCCGGAAAAAGAAAATCCATGAGTACAACTCTTGTACCACCTCTTGAGGTCCTTTTTGTCAAATAATGCTTTTATTAAGATATGTGGCTATGAAAATAGCCGTTTTCAGAAAATTTAAACGATTCCTTCACCAAGGTTTGTTAAAGCAGCACAAACTGTTACAATTTTGTCACAATTAGAAAGAGTAACTGAGGTAGCTTCATCAGTAATGTTTTTAACAGTTCGTAAAGGCAATACACCTTGAAGAATGGTGTAACGATTTTTCAACAGCCCAATAACTCTTTCTATGTGAATTCTAACAGATGATATTTTGCGAGATTTTTCTACCTCCGAAGCAGAAAGTTGTGCTTTATACTTTGTAAAAGCTGGATTTATTAATATAGAGCAACTTCCAGCTGCAAAATCGTCTTGTAAAGTAAAACCTCTATTTGATAAGATTTGATCGCCTGGCATATGGTACTTGCTAGATGCAAATTCTGATTCCCGAGTTATTTGATTGTCAGAAGCTCTTCCACCATAGCATTTGGAAATAAAGTTAATCGTTCCATTAGGTGTGCATGAAATGAGACATTTTATTGTACAATGTTTTTTATATTGGCTGTAAAATAGTGCTCTTGCCATTAGAGATGATGGTGATTCCACAAAAACCTCAAAACAATCAATAATTGATGTTAGTCTTGGGAATTTGTTTTAGAAAACAGGAGGAATTGTTTCGTATATATGATCTTGATCTTGCATTTTTATTAAATTTTTTAATTTCACATACATAATATCAATCCATTTCCAAAAGTTATCCAAGGCAGTAGTTTTTTTAATATCAAACATAAATGATAACATATCAAAGTTAATGTTGTGCAATAATTTAACTAAACAGAAAACAATTTTATCTTCTGTATTAAATCTTTTTAATGAAATTTCTGGAGTTCCTTTGCATAGGAAACTCAACAGTTTTTCTAATACAGGAAGATTAAGTCCAGTGAGCATATTGCACTTATCAGGATTGGCTCGAATTTTATTTATTCCTAAACTGCAATTGCTATCTTTTAATGATATCCACTTCGACATAAATCTCTTTTTAATCGAAGATTATTTATTTCACTATATAGTTGTTGTCTTTCTGATGTTTTAAGAGGTATTTCAATATCAATTTCAGATTTTTCAGTATAACTCATTTCTGACTTTAAAGAACTATTGGTTGAACTTTGCTGAACATTGATGTTTACAGGAGCACTCTTTCCTTTAAATAAGAAAAAATACAATAGATATTTTAAATTTGCATATGATGTTTAAATAACTTTTAAATTAATACCTTGTATATAACTCTTACTGGAATCTTGAACATAAACATCTTCATTAATTATAGGAACACTAAATTCTGAAATATATTATTAAATTATTTTTCAACTTCTACAAAATAAAGTTAATAAACAAAAAATAAACAAAATTACAAAAACAAAAAATACAAATAGTAGTTAGAAGTAATTGAAGACCTTAGTGCTAAAAAAAACTTAATTCGCACAAACTTTTTTAGAGAAAACATATTTTAAACTTATATTTGTATAGCCATTTTATTTTTATAATTAAATTTATGATGGTCAACGTTCTAAAATAGCTCTAGTAAATATAGAATTATTAATTTCTGAAAAATTGTTAAAAAGAAAAATCTAAAACTATGCAAAAATGTAAAAAACTAAAATAAAAAATTAATCAATACCATGACTGGAAGATTGTTCTAAAAAATTTTTGGAGCATATAGGATTACTGATATCAGATTGCTGCAAATAATTTTCAGTACTAACTTGGATATCGATTTCTGTTGAGTATGAAATACATTTATTTTATAAAAATTTACTGGAGCGGTTTCATAACTTTTACAAGATCTACATGATCATTATTAATTATAACAAAAATTATACAAACTTAAATTGTAAATACCTAAATTTAATAATTATTTTTTCAAACTTACCTTCGTTACTAAAACTCCTTTTTTCAATGACAAAATCAACATCCTCACTAATTGATTGAGCACATAGTTTTAATTTTTTGCATGCAGGAACACTTATTTCTAAAAAAAAAATTTTAAATTAAACAACATCAAAGTAATTATTTACAAATGAATTGAAGCAAACAATAATATTTACTTTGTCTATTTATCCTCCTACTGACTCAGGCTTGGTCGGGAAGCGGGAGCGATCGCTCTCGAATACTGACCACGGAAATTATATTTAGTTGCGAAAAACTGGCCAGGTTTTTAAGTCGTTTTGAGAACATTTAAGTTTATGTGCAAAACAAAAAATTTTTGTTTTACGGACATACATGGAAACATAATAAACTTGAATGTTCACAAAATATCTTTGTGCGAAAGAATAAAAAGAATATTCGCGAACACTAAAAAACCGCCAAATTAACGAACAAACTAATTCTATTGGTTCAAAAAATACGCTGACTTAGCGAAATAAAGTTATAGAATATTCTGTTGAAATGTTTTTAGAAACAATTTGTTACATTTTGAGATTTCTAGCATAAATTGTTTTAAGAATAAATATATTATTTGTTTACAAAAATAAAAGTTTTAAATATATATAAAAATGTCAAAATGTTAAAAGTTTATTATAAATTATAGATTTTATTAGTATATTCTTATTTTTTATTTAAAAAGTATGTATTCTTTATGTAAATTTAGTTTTTTTTAACTGTTTTTTATTGTAATGTATCTTTTAAAACAATTTTTACGATATAAACAAAGACTTACAAAAATAATTGCGTTTTCAATGAAGTTATAATCGTTATAGTTAATAAAACTAATTACGTAACAAACATATAAGAAGTTTCTAGTTACTAAACACAAACAACGCGTACAAAGTAACTCGCAGATGAACATGCACCGCGCCTAAGGTCACGACAGAACATAAATATATATATGATAATTAGATATAAAGAAAAGTTACTAGATATTGGTTTACTAACTCTAATTATTTTTGCTTAAGTTGCCATTCTAAAAACTCGTTATACTTTTTTCTGCTTTAAATACTAATTAAAACTAAAAAGCCCACTCACTAAACATCACCAGCGATTTGTGAAGCAATTTCGCTTCCTCGTCATAAAGTATTGTTAACCTTAAGTTGATTTCTATATTGTTAATTTAATTTCTATGATTTAATTATTTCATTTGTTTATCTTACTAAGAAGAATTGCTTCAAATATGTTAAACTTTTCAAACTACGCGAAACATAAAATAGCTATTGAAAAAATTTTTAAACAATCGTAAGTTGTTACTTTATATAAAAAACATCGTTTAATTTTATGAAAAAAATTATAAAAGAGCGATGTTTTGAAAATATTTGTTTTAAACGTAATTTATTTAGCTTTAAGTTTTTTCGCGTTTAAAGATATTTTATTTACCTTTTGTAATTGTCTCTCATCGGTCCAATTAATCTTACGCGCTTTTTTTTTTGCTTTTTAAAATGTTCTCAAAACGACTAAAAAATCTGGCCAGCTTTTCGCAACTAAATATTATTTACGTGGTCAGCAATCGAGAGAGATCGCTCCCGCTTCCCGACCAAGCCTGCTGACTCGGTTAATTTTGTTATTGTTGGTATTTCTTTGAGGAGAACCTTTCATTCCAGTATCAAAAATTGATGGAACTGAATCTGGATGTTTCTCAAAGAGCTCTCTTTTACCTGAAATTTTTGAACAAGTAGTATTTATTGTAATTCATTTAGTATATAAAATCAAATCTTAATAAAATTTGTTTACCAGTAATAAAGTGTGCTGAACAAACATAAACATTTGAAGACGTAGGAGACCACTGTTTTGACGAAGTGCTATCTGCAGCACGATTAATTGCATTTAACCATTTTCTTCTGACCGCTTTATTCTTAGGAATACGATAAAATTTAAGTTCATTGTTTTTTTTACAATTGTTTGTGCAACCTACAACACAACAACTCCTTGGCATCTTTTTGTCATAAAAAAAGTTTAAAACGCTGTTGATATTTTTATGTTTGTTTTCCCTCCATTCAAGATGGTTAATTTATTTCGCAATTCGGCGTGACGTCACGCCGACTAGATGGATAGATGGAATCGCAACGCTATTGAAATTCCTAAAACCATGTGAGAAATCTTTTGTTAATAATACAAAAAAAAGTCGTAAACAATTTCACTAAAGACGGACGGCTTCTGAAGTATGTAAAAAATTAACTTGCTAACTCAAATTTTTTCGATAAAAAAGAATTTGAGGTTCACCTTGCAAATGTTTATATTTTGTTTTGATATTAAAAAAAAATAAATATAATAATGAAAATAATAATAATAGTTGTTTTGTGTATCAAGTTTATGCAATTTACGAAAAAATCTTATTTGTATATAATATATACATATATAAAAAGTTCTAAAAAAGGTTTAAATTTGACTTAAATTAAAGTTTAAATATTTTTTTTTAGGTTATTTAGGTGCTCCCAGAAGTCCGAACGATCATTTTACTCTGATTATGAAACTAAATTAACAATAAAGTAATTTAAAATTGATCAAAACTGTAAAAAAAAAAATTAAAAAAATTAAGTGCCCAGTTAAATTTAAGTGCCCCCATTTATCAAAGCATTTGTTTTTAACTAAAACTCCTTTTTGTATCGCGTAATTAACTTATTTATTTTTTATGCAGAAATCTTATTCTAAATTATTTAAGAACTATTTAAGTATTTTTTTTTTGCAAGAGCGTAAATTTATTTTTTAAATTTACTTTAATTTTATTTTTGCACACAGAAACTAATGGGATGTTGTTTGATTGTAATGGGATGTTGTTTGATTGTAAATGCAGCCATATTTAAATGCAGCCATAATTAAATGCAGCCATATTTAAATGCAGCCATATTTAAATGCAGCCATATTTAAATGCAGCCATATTTAAATGCAGCCATATTTAAATGCAGCCATATTTAAATGCAGCCATATTTAAATGCAGCCATATTTAAATGCAGCCATATTTAAATGCAGCCATATTTAAATGCAGCCATATTTTAGTGAAGTATTTAGATCTCAAGAGTATAAAGCATATCAAAATAAAAGTAAACTCTGAAGCGATCCTTTTATGGAGAAATCAAAGCCATTTCTCGAATTATGTTGAAATTAATTATTTTCATCAATCTGCTGTCCCATAAAAAGTGATTCCACCCAACTCACTACGCCACTGGATTTAGGTGTTTTTTACCCTTCAACAACTTTCCGGTAGTTTGACATAAGTAGAAACCAATAAAAACGAATTAAAAATTGTCATTTTCATACTTAATTGGCAGTTGTTAGTTTTTTTATATGGGCTAGTCTTTTGAATGCAAAATATATCTTGATAAAAACTGAAATCTGTTTAAAAAATTTGATCTAATTTGTAAAAGCAATTTTATAATAAAAATTTGCTTTGATGTAAAAAAAGATTGACAAGGAAAGTAGGTAAATATTTTAAAATATGTTTAGAGCAAAGCTGAACCCCGACAAATTTCAACAAGCTATACTATTTAAAACCAAATAGGTAATAATAAAGCATAAGATTATAACTAACTCCATTCTTTTGAAAAATAAGCTTCTTAAAATCAGTTTGTTTCAAAATTGGGCAAATTAGAGAAACTCTAATAATTAGCTCTATCAAAGTAATATTTCCTAATATTTTTTTAAAATAAGATTAGGAACCAATTTAATTTTCCTAGGTCTCTTGCTAAAGACCTAAGTATATTTTTAAAAATATTTTTTATTCAAAACATTTTCAAATCCAGTGTTATTTTACTATTTAGAACACATTAATGAGGTGGCAGCAAATATTTATCAAAAATTTTGTTTTATGAATTAGCTAATAAAGATGCACAATAAAGAGCAAGATAAACAACAATAAAAAGCAAAACCGCAAAATTCTATTTAAATTACTATACTAAATTTGTTTAACAAAAGCTAACTTTTAAGTATACAAATAAAATATGATATAAAACAGATAATTATAGCTCATGTCATAATTATTCAATTTTGATTATGAACATATACTGGCGTGGTTTTTTCCTTGGCAAAATTGAATTTGTCAGTAGTATCCACTTTTCAAATTTTCTGCATTCTTCCATGATAATTTCCGTAATAAAGTCAATCACTTACAATATTCAAATATTAAAAAAATTCAAATATCAGAATTATTAAAGAAAAGATTTGATTTTAAAAAGTATTTACCCTTCCTTTTGCAGCTAAATTGAGAACCAATTTTGACTGTGAATATATTGAATACGTTCTTCTCTGAGTTTAAGACCAACACCATCATAAAACATGTTAAGATCCTATTCATATACATTTAATGTAATCACGTCATCACATCACGTGGTTCAACTTTTAACCTAAAAAATGTTTTAATAGCTTATAATTTTAAGATTCATAAAATCATTTCATTTAAGATAAAAAAAAATTATGATGATCATTATCATCATAATTGTCATCACCACCATCATCATAATAAAAATAATCATTGCGGTTATCATCATCTTCATCATCATCATCAACATCAACATCATCATCATCATTATCATTTTTAAGTCACCCTTTCGTTCTCGCCCATAAAAAGGCCTCTAAAAACAATAGCCCTGGGCCCCAAGAAGTCTTAATCCGCCACTGTCTAAAAAATATTTTGAACATTGAAAAAACAAATATACTTTTTAAAAAAATGGAAACTCTAATAATACTAATTTAATTCAAAATTTCAAAACTGTTAATTCAAAAGTATATTCCGTCACATACGGAAAAACCATACATATTAATAATATGTATGGTTTTTAGGTATGTGACGGAATATACTTTTGAATTATATCAGCCATCAGCTAAACCATCTTTTTACTCATAAAAATCAGTCTTTTTATTTAAATTATAGAACAACTATTCGGCAACATTCCAGCTAACTTCTAAGCTATTTTTTATTTATATAAGCATGAAGTATCCGTTTAAAACATCATTAACTTAAAATTGAAATTAATTGATAGACGTCATTTTTTAAAAATATCAAATTATTAATATTTCACGCATGGTTTTTGTGACGGTATTCGGAACCTTTGATGTTTTTAAGCGTTGTACTTTCATCTATAATACTTCCATGCTATAACTAAATAGTTGTAGTTATCGAATTAGTTGAAAAATTGACAACTTTCAAACTATGTTTTTTTAACAATTTTGAAAGTATTTTATATTCACTCATGTGTAAAAGTAAATCCAATGGACGTCCGAGTGCGTACTATTTTGGACTTTGATGTTTGTGTTTGCTGACCAAGCTTAGTAACAAATTTACTACCAAACCTTGATCAGCAAATACAAACAAATGAACAAGCAATCAATTTGGTAGCAAATTTTCTACCAAAGTCTATTTTGGACTTTGAAAACAAATTTGCTACCAAGTCCAAAATAGAACGTCTTTGGACATTCAAAGACGTACTTTAGACTTGGACGAATAGACTTAGACGGTATGTCCTATTGACGTCCAAGGACGTCTTGTGCCCATTGGGTAAAGCCACTAATTTAATGACTGTTATGTTTGCTGATGATACTAATCTCTTTTTATCTAATAAATGTATGACAACATTGTTTCAAAATATGAACATTGAGTTCATATTTTGAGAAACAACGGTTTGTCACTGGTTTAATATGAATAAGTTGTCGCTTAATGTTGATAAAACAAAATGGTCACTTTTTTACCCAACTTAAAAGAAGAGATAACTGCCAAATGAAATACCTGCTCTTTTTATAGAAAAAATGCAAATAAAAATCTCTTAAAGTTACCTACAATTTTCTTAATATATTTTATAATATTGGAACAGAATTTTTATTTGAATTTTGAATTATTTTGAAAGAAAATAATATATACAAATATATATGTCGAATCACATCTAATTTATAACCAAAAACAGAAAATTTTTGTCATTTTTGTTACTATATTTTAATCATTTCTTTTTATTTTTCTTATTTTTCTTCAATTATTTTAATACTTTTTTTTTTTTTTCTTCTTTTTAACTTTGTTTCTCAACATTTTAAATTGTCTTTTTTTAAATACTTTTGCTTATATATTACGGATTATTGTATATTACGGATAGTTATTTGCGTTACTATTGGGGCTCGGTGATAAGGCTATTTTATGCCTTCTTCTTGCTCCAGCCAATTGTACTTTTTATATTGTTGTACTTTGTAAAAATTTTTAACGGCGAAATAAACTAATAAAACTAAAACTAAAACTAAACTAAAAAGAGAAACATATAGGGGTGAGTGGGGAGAAGTGGGAAGCAGGAAAAACGGGACAGCCTAATTAGAAGTGGTGCCTAAATACTGTTTTTTAATGTAAACAAATAAATTTCTTCCCCTCTATTTAGCAGAAATTGTTTTGTTTCCCTGCATACGCTAGAAGCCCTAATTTTAAAATGTACCTTAAAAAATGTTTACATTGGAGTGAAAGACTTGAAGCTAGAAGCCCTAATTTTAAAATGTACCTTAAAAAATGTTTACATTGGAGTGAAAGACTTTTCACTTGTTATTGTTTTGTTGTTAATAATTACTTTTTTGGGTAAGCAAGAGAGTTTCTTTGTCTCTCTTCCAATTACTTCATTTATAATAAACCAAGTTTTCTTGATATAAAACTTATTTTTATCCAACTGGTTAGAAAACTTAATTTTAGTTTCAAGTTATTTTGAAAAAACTTTTTATATGATTTCTACTTTTTATATGATTTCAAATTATTTGACAAAGTGCTTGCAGTATGAAGCCGTCAAAATTGTTAGAATATCTTAAATCTGTCTACCCAGGAAATGCATTCGATAACGCTGATGTTTTTCAAAAAAAACTCGATTTGAAAAAGCCGGAACTTTACCCAAACTAGTCTTTACTTTAACAAAACAACCATGTTTAGAAACATTGTTCAAAGTCGCATATCAAATTGCCCAACAAAAAAATGTAACATACTGTTCCAAAAACTTTTCTAAAGCCTTGTATGTGGTAGAGATCAAAGAA